CAGCAGCAGCAGCAGCAAAACAAGTTATCAACTGCCTCGCCCCGTCCCAACTAAAGAATCCTTCTAACAAATCTCACGCAGCCGCAAGGCCCTTTGTACTGCTACAGCCAAAGCATGCACAGCAGCAGCAGCAGCAGCAGCAGCAGCAGCAGCAGCAGCAGCAGCAGCAGCAGCAGCCCGTGTGCTGCTGCTGCTGCTGCGGCGACAGCAAACTACATTTCCGAGCGACTAGCCTCTGGCTTTTCGCCCCGCAGCGTAAATAATTAAAATTTTAATTCTTTTTAATTTAATTTAATTCATTTCAATTTAATTTTATTTCATTTGCTGCTGCACTCGCCCTCGTGCTGCTGCTGCAGCAACCGCTCACCGCAGCAGTTCTTAGAGTGAATTTCGAAGCACATTTCTTTTTAAAATAAATTTAATTATTTAAAATAATAATAAATAGACTTTTATTGTAAAATTGAACAATCTGCAGCAGCTGCTGCAGTGTCAGTACGCTCCGCTGCTGCTGCTGCTGCTGCTGCAGCACGCAGCAGCAAGACAAGCAGCATTTCATTTTTAATTAAATCCTCTCAGAGCCAAAACAACTTCAAGCAAAAGCAGCATAGCTCAAAACTAACAGCGCTGCTGCTGCTGCTGCTGCTGCTGCTGCTGCTGCTGCTGCTGCTGCTGAAACTGCCGCTGCTGCTGCTGCTGCTGCTGAAAGTGCCGCTGCTGCTGCTGCAGCAGCGATTGCTGCAGTAGCGATTTTGCTGCTGCTGCTGCTGCTGCAGCAGCAGCAGCAAAATTTGAGTTTGTCTGCAGATCTATTGCGTGCCTGGGCCTTAACAACGCTAGAAGAGTTTTTTTTGTCTTTCTATTTTCTTTTTTTAAATTCTTTTTGCCTCTTTTTGTTTTCTCTTTTTTTATTTTTTAAATATCTTTTTAAATGTCTTTTATCTCAATTTTGAATCTTTTTTTATTTCCATTTTTGCTCCCTCCTTGCCTTCCCGCCTTCTGCCCTCTTTTTATTTCTTTTTAATTTCTTTTTAATTTCTTTTTAATTTCTTTTTAATTATTTTTTAATTACTTTTTAATATTCTTTTCATTTCTTTTTCATTTCTTTTTTGCATTTTTAATTTTTCTTTATATCTTTTTTCTCTTTTCATGTTTTTTGTTTTCCCCATTGCCCGCTTCTTCTTCCCTCTTGTATTTCTTTTATCTTTTTTATTATTTCTTTTTCTTTTTATTATTTCTTTTTCTGTTTGTTTTCTTTTGTTATTTTTCTTTAAAAGGGATAAAATAAACTTCTTTTAATTTGAATAAAGTTCCTCGCCAGAACTTCGAAGAAATTGTTTTATTTCTATTTTTATTTCACTTCAGATCCGAAGAACTGGTGGCTTCCCCTTTGTCTTTTTTTTCTACTTTTGCATTACTGAATTAAATTAAATCACTTTTGCATTACTGAATTAAATTAAATTACTTTTGTATTACTGGATTAAAATAAATTAATTCTTATTAATTAAAGTTAAATTAAAGTGCATTAATTACTTTACATTCAACTATATTCCTGAATTAAATTAAATTAATTCTTATTAATTATATAAAGTTAAATTAAAGTGCATTAATTACTTCAGATTTAACTAATTTGCATCAACTCAATTAAATCCAATTAATTGGCATTTTTAATTCAGTGGGAATCGAACCCGCCACTATTCAAAATGAAGTACAAAAAAAATTCAAGAGTTTCATTTCGCAAGTTGAATGAAATGAATCCTTCAAATTTTAAAAAGAACTCTCAAATACTTTTTTTATTTATTTAATTTTAATTCAAAATCTAATTCATAAAATCATTTTATTTGAATTCTTTGAAAAGTTTGAACTTCAAGTTCGGCGAACTTGCAAAAGCTGCAAAGTTTTTCTGCAAAGCTGAGGCAGATTTAAAATTAAAAAAAAACAATTTTATTTTTTTTTAATTTTAAATTCGAAAATAAACCTTTTTAATCAGCAACAAAACACTTCTTCCTCTTTTGCAGCACTCGGGGGCTCTTTAAAGGCATTTTAAAGGCTCTTGAGCTGCTAAATGGGCTTTTAATTCCCAAAAAGGTCTTTAAAAGGATTATTTTAATTTTATTTGAGATAATTTAAAGCAATTTAAGACAATTCAAGACTATTTAAATGATTCAAGATAACCCAGAGGGCTGCTGCTGCTGCTGCTGCTGCTGCTGGCTGGGCAGGTCCTTTTGCTGCTGCTGCGCTGCTGCTGCGCTGCAGCAGCTCAGCAGCAAACAGCAAATCGAAATGCGGCGCTTTCTTCTCTAGCAAGTCATACTAAGCCCTGGGGGCCCCTGGCCTTTGAAAGGGCCCCTTAGCAGCAATTCTGGGGGCCCCCTTTCCCTCAAAAGTCAAGAAAAAACCCTTAAGGAGGCCCCTGAAAGAAACAGCCTCAACAAGAGAGCCAACGGGGGCCCCCGGGGCCCCAAAGAGGGGCCCCTGGGGCCCCAAAGAGGGGCCCCCGGGGCCCCAAAGAGGGGCCCCTTGGGGCCCCAAAGAGGGGCCCCTGGGGCCCCAAAGAGGGGCCCCTGGGGGCTCAAAGCGGGCCAAATATATGTTGAGCAACTCTTTTGTAACTTCTAACAAGTTCAAAGTTTATGTCTTTTAGCTCTTTCTTCCACTCAAGGGAAAAGAAAAGTAATATATCTTTAAAAAATGTCTTTATTTATTTTTGCAAACTGCACTTCTCCAAGTTTTCACTGAAATCCCAAAGCAGCTAAAATGGCACTTTTCCCCTCAGCAAAGTTGGCCGCGGGGCGCTCGTGGGTAAAAAGCTAAAAAGTCCTGGGGGCTGTTTTGATTCTAATCCTTTTAATTTGTTTGATAAATATATATATTATTGTGTATACTTAATAATATATATATAATAAAAGATAAAATGAAACATTTAAAACTATTTAAATTGAAATTGTCCCGAAGTTAATAGCGAATTCCCTCGGCGAGATATTCATGCAAGAAAGTCCTTTTGAATTTTTCCAACTCGCAATTCGACTACAAACTGTCAGTTTTTTCATTTTTTTCTTTTTCAAATTTCAATTTATAAATAAAAATACTTTTGTTTCTTTTCTGTCGAATGTGGCTGTCAGAAAAATGCAATTTAGATGATGAACAGCCAAGCTGGCTTCCTGAAGGCACTTGTGCAAGTGCAGGAGTCTAAAGACAGAAAACTTGCATTATTTACAGAAAGAAGAAATCTTTTTTAAAACCTTTTTGCAAATATAATTATCTTTTAAAGAGCAAAAAGGGGAAGAGGCAAAGATTCAAGTTTGCAAAAGATAGAAGCGCGCGGATTCGAAGGGCTGGCTGAAAAGGAATTGTTCTGAAAAGAAGGAAGTTGATTAGAATTTAGTGAAAGAAATCAGAATCAGATAATATTTGTTGTTTTCAAAAGATAAAAAAGAAATGCTTTTAATCTTTTTATCTTTTTCTGTTGAAGCTGTTTTTTTTTCAGCAGCTGAAGCGCGAAAGTCACTGATGTGGCATGTTGAAGGCACACTACTGAAGATCAGGGGCTGCAGTGCAGCAAATAAAACTAAAAAAGAGGAATTAAAATTAAATTTTGAATATAAAGAATGAAATGAAGAAGATTAAGAGGAATAAACTGCAGAAACGAAGTGGGAAATGAGGAAACGACACAGCAGTTTTGGCTGCTCGGGCTCTTGAAAAACGGCCCTGAACTTTTCAAGGTTTAAATTTAAAAAGAAAGAAATGAAATATTATTTAAATTATTAAATGAAATATTATTTAAATGTTATTTCACCCACTCAAGAGTGGTGGGGCTCTGCGGTGCATTCATTCAACAAGAATAATTTGCGCGCTTCTACTTCATAAGCCTTCCCGCAGCGGGCATTTAGGACTTATGAAAAGGTATTAAAAATCTTTTTGAGTAAATAAATATTTTAAAGGATCTTTTTTAGCGAATAGAGATGTCAAAGAGCTCAGGATGAACAGACGCACAGCAAAAATTCATGTTTGGAAGCAGCATCGAGAGCACGACTTCACGAAAACGGTGCGAACACTGCAAAACTAGATAGCGCCGTTCGCATTGAATTAATTTTTTCTTTTTAAATTAATTTTACTTTTCATTTTTGCAGACATTTCAATTTCAGAGCAGCTTCCACTCTCACTGGATCGCTGGGTGCTGGTCAGTTCGTGGGTTGCGAGCATGCGTGCAGTGATCTGATCAGGAACTTTGCAGCCTCTGTGCGAAGCCCTAAAGTTGCTGGTTGTATAAATAAGTTAAAATGCATTTCTAAACAAAGAAAGAATCTAAATAAAGCATTTCATGGAAAAAAGATGAACCTGTCGGCTGCGGTGCAGACAACAACCCGGTTCAGGGTTGCTCGCATCACCACTGCGCCACTGTGCGATCACGGGAACCCCAAGAGCTACCAGGAGCGTCAAATTGCAGATATTTGCAATTGTTTGATCCGTTTATAATTGTTGAAGACTTTTGCAGTCAATTTAGCGCAAATAAGGGGGCGAATTCCCCGGCAGAGCATGCAGCAGGCTGGTTGCGCACAGTCGGGCGGCGCTGCTACTACAGCAGCTGTGCAGACTGCGGCGTGATCTGCGGGTGGTTTCGCCGCCAGATTGCGAAACTTTTGTTGAAAGAAAAGAAAAAAGAGTTTACTTCAATATTTTGCGAACAGAGCTGCTCAAAGTGGCAGCACTTGGTGCGAATTCGAGTTCACAGCTCGTGGCAGCATGGAGCCTGCGCAGGCCGGGTCTTCGCCTATTCTGGCCTCCTCCGGCGACTCCCCCCGCAGCAGAGACTCCCGCAAAGAAAAAACTGTCTTAGAATTGGCAGATCATGGCTTATTTTTGCCGGTTTCCCCTCGAGAGCTCCAGGCGTCGCTGGGTTCCCCGCTGCTGGCGCTGGAGCGCACAGCCACCCCCCCCGAGTTCTCCAGAACTTCCTCCAGTGGACCACTGGTCACCCCCCCGGCCTGTCCACTGCTGGGCCCCGAGGACCACCGCCGTGTCCGCTTTCGGGACTGCGACGAGGAGTGGCTGCTGACGGACGAGCTCTCAGTGGCCAGCACTTCGCTGCGGGCCACAGAAGAGGCTGCTCTGGGGGACGCAGCAGCAGCAAAGCTCGACGACGCCTCCCCTGCTGCTGCTGCTGCAGCAGCAGCAGCAGCAGCAGCAGCGGCAGCAGCAGCGGCGCAGCCGCGCGGCTGCAGGTCTCCCCTCGCCGCAGCGTGCAGTGTACGTACACCTGGGACCGCAACGCCGGGCCCCGCAGCAGCCCGCTGCAGCAGCCCCGGCAGTCCTTTTGCTGCTGCATCTCTGGCAGCTGCGCATTCATTTCTTTACCAGCAGCAGCTCAGCAGCAGCTCAGTGGACCTTGCTGCTGCCCACTGGCTTCCCGCTGCGCGCTGCAGCAGCAGCAGCAGCAGCAGCAGCTCTCGCTGCGGCAGCAGCAGCAGCTCTCGCTGCGCGTCCCTGAACTACCCAGCCCGCGCCGAGTCGCGCTCGCCTCCACAACCACCCCAACCAGCAGCAGCAGCAGCAGCAGCAGCAGCAGCAGCAGCAGCAGCAGCAGCAGCAGCAGCGGGGCCCCGCGGCCGCCGCCACACAGCCCCCGGGGCCCTGCGAACTGCCCTCATTCGCTCCGCCGACGGCAGCGTCCACCGCCGGCCCCTCCACAGGCCTCCTTTGAGTACAACTCAGCCCCCGAAGTCTTGTGTGCGGCTGCAGCAGGAGGGGGGTTTAGCTGGCAGCAGCAGCAGCAGCAGCAGCAGCAGCAGCAGCAGCAGCAGCAGCAGCAGCGGCAGCGGCGGGGGCTGCGGGGGCGCTGCAGCGCGCGGCAGCGCGGAGGCCGCCGCGCCCTGGGCCGCTTCCTGGGGGCCCCCCGGGGCCCCAGTGGGCCCTCCCCCCCCGCCGCTCTCTGTCGGGCCCGGGGCCCCGGTTCTCCCGGTTTCTAGACCCTGTGGCTGCTGCTGCTGGGGCCCCTGCTGCTGCTGCTGCTGCTGCACCTCTGGGGGCCCCTGGGGGCCCCTGGGGGGGCCCCCACAGGCCTTACCAGCCACAGCTTTGCCAGCCCGCTGCCCTGGTAGATATTGCTTGTTGGGACTTCGAGTGAAATGCAATTAAGAGCTCACTAACGCTAGACTTGCTGCTGCTGCTGCTGCTGCTGCTGCTGCTGCTGCTCTGATTGCTGCTGCTGCTGCTGCTGCTGCTGCTCTGATTGCTGCTCTTGCTGCTGCACTTTGTGTTCTTGCTGCGGCCGAGAGGACCAGTGGACCACTGTGGGGTCTCTGCTGCTTCGAAAGAAGTTGCGAAAAGAAAAGAATTAAAATTCAAGTTGGGAGTTGATGAGTTTCCTATTTGTTTGCGAAACTCTTGATGAAGAGTGCATGCGCATGCACTTGGAAACAGATAAATGACAAATCAAACTCTTGAATGAACTAGAAATCAAAAGGCCAGGCTTTTGATCTTTTGCAAATGGACTCCGCCGAACAAATAAAATAAAGGGATTTAAATCAACTGCAGCAGCAACAAACTATTCACAAATGCACAGAAACCCGCCAAGACACTTCTCCCGCCGCAAAACTAGAACTGCATGCATGCAAGTCTGCGCATGCATGCATGCATGCATGCATGCATGCATGCATGCTGCAAAACGCTTTCGCGTTCGAGTGTACGTACACCTGGGCTCTAGGGCTTTCACAACTGCACAAATACATAAAAACACTTCCGCAAATGCGTAAATGTGCATGTGGGTCTATAAGAGGCAATAAGAGGCAAGCGCACTTCGTTTGCATGCAGTGGACTTGCAAGAAAAGCCTGCACACGCGGTGTATGTACACCCTGTCCGCATGGAAAGCCCGCAGAAAGGCAACTGCGCTGTCATAAATAGAAAAGTACGCAAAAGGCATTTGTAGACTGCCGAGTGGGCGAGTGGCACAAAGACCAAGTTCACTTCCAAGTGCACGGCAGCTCTTCTCCAGATGCATGCATGCATGCAGACCTGCATGCATGCAGACTTACATGCATGCAGATTTGCATGCATGCAGACTTGCATGCATGCAGACTTACATGCATGCAGCCCTGCATGCATGCAGGGCTGCATGCATGCAGCCCTGCATGCACGCGAACTTGCATGCACCTCGTCACTGCTCGGCCGTTCTTTTCCCCGCAGCCGCGGCTGCCTCTGCCCCCCCCCCCTCCGCCTCGGACTCCGTCTCAGCGGCGCTCGCGGGGGGCCCCTGGGCGTGGCGTTTGGCCCAGTCTTCAGCGAGTTTGCACTCGCTGGCAAATTGCTGCCGCTGGCTCTCGAGGCAGTACTGCAGCCGCTCGACTAACAGCCGCAAGTGGCTGTGCGGGCCTTTGCGGGCCCCCTCGCGCACACACACTGGCACCAACAAGTCCAGCAGGCCTTCCCCCAGCACGCCGCCGCTGCTGCTGCTGCTGCTGCTGCTGCTGCTGCGGATGCTGCTGCCGTTCGTGCTGCTGCTGCTG